CCTCCAGGCACTTGCTCAGCCAGGTAAGCCCTTTTCTCCTTCCCTTTGAAGCCCATCACCCCATCTCTGGGTTCTCATAATCAGGAAAGTCAGAGAAGGACACGGAGTGAGGCGGATCACACAGCTGCTCCAGGGCAGAGCCTGGATGAGAATTCCAGCTGTGGACCCCAAATCCAGTCCTCCCAGGACTCCAGCTCTGTAATCACACCCTCCGTGTAGTTACTGCCCCGGCTTCTTGCAACAGGGGTTGGGGACTTGAATCATCAAAAACAAGGGGACTCTGGTGGAGAGTGTGCAGGGTATCTCCAGATATGGTGGAGGGGAAAGGAGGAGACCCAGAATCTGGTCTATGCTTTGTTCGGTCCAGGATCCAGAGACAGGGTTCTGCAGAGGCTGCAGGTATCGGAGAAACTGACAACTAGGAACAGATTGCTCAGAGCCTAGAGGGGGACCTATAGCTGGGGTCCCCTTGACCTGAGGAACTGGACTATTCTATGAGCCTCTCCTAGAAATACCCAGATTTGTCACCAGTTCCTCTTCTCTTCTTAATGAGCTGTGGTATCCTTCCACTTTACAGTCCATGCAAGTGAGAGAGTTTCAAGACAGATGTAGGTACTTCAAGACAGACCTAGTCCTTAGGGATTTAAGGTGGGTGGCTTCCCTTTCCTTTGACTCCTCCTCCTTACTGTTCCCTACTTTTCAAATGAAAGTCCCAACACACACCCTCAATAGCCTTTGTTGTTGTTGTTTCAACAGAGGGGATTAATAGCCCAACAACCTGCTGCTATAGATTTACTGTTAGAAAGATCCCCATCCAGAAGCTGAAGAGCTACAGAAGAATCACCAGCAGCTATTGTCCCAGGGAAGCCGTGATGTGAGTGAAGCCATGACCACCCGCACTCATCCCTTGATCTTGAGCTCGCTCCCAGACAGTGGATTGGGTTCTATGATAAGACTGAGTTGGAATTTAACCCTCAGATGCTTAGACTAATCCAACCCCAAGAATTTTTTTTATGGGAAAAGTGAATTCAAGAAAGTAAAGAGACTTCCCATTTTCAGCTCCCTGTCCAGACATTGGTTCAGATGTCAGTTCTTTCATCTAGGAGCCAAGATGGCTTCACCTAGGTCAGCAAAAACAGCTCCATCCCCAGAGGCCCCTTCCTAACCTCAGGCTAATGGGCCAGGCAAGTTTTCCATAGAGTAGGTTACACTCCCAAGCTGAATCTTCAAGGTGCTCTATCTAACTGCCCTCTTTACCCACAGCTTCAAGACCAAACAGGCCAAGGAGCTCTGTGCTGACCCCAAGCAGAAGTGGGTCCAGGATTTCATGGAGTACCTGGACAAGAAAACCCAAACCTCAAAGCTATGAACCTTCATGCCCACAATGAAGCCAAGTCAGTACTCAGGGAACAATTAATGTATATGCCCTGTTCTTTCCAACATGCATTCTGAAATTATTCTATTACAATTCTAAGGAATATGAAATTTGTGTAATAATGTGAATCATGGTTTTTCTTAAGTAGTGTATTATGTCTTCTAAGTTGTTAATATTTTAATTTAATGGGCTCTGGAATTGGATGTGTTTCAAATGCAAACCTTTGGACACATGTCACTTCAGACCCTTCAAAACTACAGGGTGGTCCTTCCTCTCTACCTCACTGTAGTGTTGTGAGTATCTGTGCATGAATCAATGCAAATAAACATATATTTAATTTTTAGGAGGGAATGTCCCTATGAAACATAATAATATCATAGAACTGAATATTTTTATATGTACAGCTCTTGAATTTTCACATAAAATATGTTTTTGGGTAAAACCTGACTTTGATGCCTTTTTAAAGGATAAGATAAACCTGGTGGGAGTGCCAGAGAAAGGAGGGCTGGATTCAGAAGGTGGGGCTTGTGTTCTGGAGGAATGAGTATATGATAGACTCCGGGCTTGCCCCCAAGCTGGGCTCGCCCCCAAGCTGGGCTCACCTGCATGTCAAGGAAAGTCAGCTTGGCTGGCGCCAGGGTTAGCCAGCTCCACAGCTCCAGATCTGACATCAGTTTCAGTCATTTGTTCAAATACCTTCTTCCTTTCCAAAGTCATTTCTTTTCCCACCATCCCATGCCCTACCCAGTGGTCTCTCCTCTCAGCTCTTGCATCAGCCTTGTGGCTGGTTGGTTTTCTTTCTTGTAATCAACTTTGAATCCAGAATAATACAAGTATCCCCTGCATTAAGAAACCAGGGAGGGGATCAACAGATGACTCCAGAAGTTCCCTTCCACACCTAGGAACCACATGTCTTAAAGATATCTATCTCCAGAGGTTGAAGAAGACCAAAGAGGGTCAGGATCCTGTATCCAAGGCAGCATACTGACAAACCCTTGATAACTTCAAGCTGAGCTTCTTGGAAGGGGGGGGGGGCGGTTTGCATCAAAATTGCAGTAGAAATCTCAAGGGGTCAGGAGAAGTCAGACACTTTGGTGGCAAGCAGACAATTTACTGGTGACTATTTGCTGCCATTGTTGATGCTCAGACCAAGGTCCAACAGCCCTTTCCCCCTCTTCCAGCCCAATAGTCCTCATCTCCAAACATCAATAAGGAGCATAATCTCAAATACCAATGGGGAATGACAGGAAGATGACCAGGGGTAGGAGGGAAATAGATGCGATCGTGCAATGAGACACAGCAAAGTCGTGTGGTGCAGCCAGATACAAGCAGAGTGTCAGGTAGTAAGACAGGCAAGGAGAGATGTGTTCCATGTGCCCAAGCCCAAACAGAATCTGATCACACTCTCTTTGTCAAGCCTATCTTTTCATTTTCAAGGAATGCTGAACTCACTTGTTCTCAATGGGCCTCTCTGGACCCAGAGTGTTAAAGAGAAATTCCAAACGACAACCAGGAACAGAAGCTGATACATAACTGGACATAAAATTTAATGGGATTCAAAAATCTGACTGGCTATACCACTCATGTGCCTGGTAAATTAGGGCAAGTTATTTTTCCTGACTGAGCCCGCATCCATGGAGATTTATAGTACATCAATGGCTCTCATGTTGGCCTCAATATCTCTAAGACATTAATAGAAAAGCAGATTTCTGGGTACCATCACCAAAGATTCTAATACAGAGTGTTGGGCGGGCAAGGTGCTCCTTCCATCTTTGCAACTGGTTCCCAGCCCTGTCTGCTGAAGAGTGATGGGTACACTTTGAAGTTCCCTGATGTCCTCTTTCAGATCAATGCAGTCTCTGGGCTTGACCTATGCCTCTGGCTTAGACATGAGGAGTCTGAACTTTCCCATCCCCTAGACTTGAAATAGCAGAGGCTGAAAATGCCAACCACATGTTCGTGTGCTCGTCTACATTTTCCAGCCTACACTGTGTTTATTGAGGGGCCATGTGACTGGATTCTAACCGAGAAGGTGAGGACCGAAATGATGGAAGCCACTTCCCTATAAACAGCTCACACTTTAGGGCTTCTCTTCCTCTGCTGTGCTGACCTTGGAGGCAACGTGCTCCAAAAACCTCAGCTTTCAGATGGAGACAGCCCACATCCTTAAGCCGTCAGAGGAGAGCCACTTGGCCTACCCTGTTCAGTGACATGCAAAAGAAATAATCTTTCATCGGGTTAAGCCACTGCAGTTGGGACCCTGGCCTAACCCTGATTAATGGAGGAATCGGTACCATGATCGTGGGTTGCCAGTAAAAACCTAAAATGTGCAACATTGACTAGACATTCGGCAGAGGCAGTGAGGAAGCTATCTCAGGTTGAAATGATAGAGAATCTTGGTACAAAGTGCCAGAGCTGATAGGCCTGGTCTGCTGAAATTGTAGCTCCAAGGAGAGAGTTTTAAAAATATGCATCCAGGGGCGCCTGGGTGGCGCAGTCGGTTAAGCGTCCGACTTCAACCAGGTCACGATCTCGCGGTCCGTGAGTTCGAGCCCCGCGTCAGGCTCTGGGCTGATGGCTCAGAGCCTGGAGCCTGTTTCCGATTCTGTGTCTCCCTCTCTCTCTGCCCCTCCCCCGTTCATGCTCTGTCTCTCTCTGTCCCAAAAATAAATAAACTTTGAAAAAAAATTAAAAAAATAATATGCATCCATAATGCATTGGTTGTTTTTCTCTGCACTTGTTAGGGTATTGCAAGAAAGAGATGAACTCAGGAAATAATTGACTGTTTTTATTAATTAAGTAATTAATTTTTGAGAGAGAGAGAGAGCACACATGAGTGGGGGAAGGGACAGAGAAACAGAGGTAGAGAGAGAGAATCCCAAGCAGGCTCAGCACTGTCAGTGAAGAGCCTGACATGGGGCTTGAATTCACGACGCATGAGATCATGGCCTGAGCTGAAATCAAGAGTCAGATGCTTAACTGACTGAGCCACGCAGCGCCCCAAGAACTGACTGGTTTTAACATAAAATGAACTGGAATAAAGTCCACAAATTCAGGATCTCACATTGTTGGAAAGCCATCTGTTTCTAGGCCTCAAACATTAAGAGAAGGTAATTTAAGGGGAAAAAGTAAAAGGATTTCAGTAATAAACATTCAGGAAAAAACTGTGAGTTGGAGGAAGTAACTTAGGGCACAAATCAGACTGAAGTTGCCGCTCTGCCTTTTCAAGCCTCATTAAGAGGAGGGGAGAGAGAGAGGGAAAGGTAAAAAAATAATGTGAGAAGTATATGTAGAAAGATCCAGGCTGTGGCTGCTGGCATATATCGAATAACCTGGTGGGAAGATATTAGAAACCTGCTATGTTCTCAAGGGCGGTAGACCATATGGCCAATAAAACCATGAATGAGCCTGCCTGAAAACAAGATACCACTGGCCATTCCAAATAAAAACAAACTTCAAGCTCTACAGTGAAGCAGGCCACCTTCAAAGGCTGCAGAAGCCCCTGGAAGATCATGTCTCTTCTACACCCACTTCAGAGGAGGCCAAAGAATAATGTAGAAGGAGAGACCTCACAAAAGCAATCAGGTGCCAGGATCAAGACAAAAGAGCGTCCCCAGATTGCAGAATCTAGCCTAACCAAGGGTGAGGGACTTTCACAACATTTCTGGAGGATTTCAGGATCACTACAGAGCACTGGCCACTGGTGTCACCATCTTCCCCTCCATGAATGAAGTAGTTGATTGCAAGCACCTGTCCTCTCCAAACCAGATATATTACATCAAGGGCAAATAACTGGTCTTTTCAGTTCACGGGTATCTGGACAGAGTGAATCCAATGCCCTCACCTGCCAGAGAAGACCACTTGCCATCCAGAGATCCTGGACATTTAATTTGATGCAATGACCGTACAGGACTTTGGGTTGATCTCTCTTGGGGAGTGGTCAATTGCATTAACCTAGGTAGAGAAGCAGTGACAAAGGGCAGACTGTATAGAAACTATTAGCCCTCACCCGGGATCTTCTCCTTACTTCTCAGCCTCCTTGCACTTGGAGTCGTATGACGAGTTAGGGCCACAGGATGTAGGCAGATGTGGTAGTCAAGGCTTCCATGCCTGGTTCTTTAAAGCTCCCTGTACAATCTATCAACCCTCTCTCCCTGGCCTCAGTGAACTTGAGGGCCACGTGTTCCAGATGCTGGCTGTGATTTACAAGAAGGCTGGATTGCTGAGTCACTCCTCAGAAAAGAGCGCCTTTGGCAAGCTGCCTGACCAACATCAAGCCGTGACATGAACAACACAGAAATAAACACCTGTCACAGTGAGCCACTGTGAGTTTTGTCCTTGTTCTGGAAGCAGAGGCCAGTGTTACCATGATCAACTTGTTCCGGGAAATACTTTCACCATCCTTTGCCTCCGTGTTCACCATACAAAGGACTGAAGTTGATTGTCCCAAGAGGATTACGTAAGATCATGTAATAAACAGTAAGCATATTTTAAATAAAAGAGCTTTGGTTTTTCTCAGGGCAACTCTGAGAAGCATGCTTCACTTCTATTTCTTTTTTTTCATGTTTATTTATTTTGAGAGAGAGAGAGAGGGAGAGAAAGACAGCGCAAATGGGGGAGTTGCAGAGAGAGAGGGGACAGAGGATTCAAAGCAGACTCTGTGCTGACACCAGTGATCCCAATGCAGGGCCAGAACTCATGAACCATGAGATCATGACCCGAGCCAAAGTTGGATGCTCAACCTACTGAGCCAACCAGGGCCCCCTGGCAGACTTCACTTTTAGAAATGACTTTGCAGAAGAGGAAACTGCTTGCCTTCCCTAAGCCTCTGTTGTCTCATTTTTGAGATGAACTTAGTTAGAAAACCTACTTTGTAGGTTTATTGGGATGATTAAATAAGTGAAGTAATACAGTGCTTGCTCACATTGAATAAGTTAGCACTGCTGTGGAGAACGTGCTATTTCTTTAGACACATTGTTAGAATTTTTATGCTA